AAATTGAACTTTCTAGGAGAATATAGAGTGGAGCAACATTTTATGAGAGGTACTCAGGGCACGGCCGTAGGTTGAGCAAATGCCTAGGTAGGATTTCCAGGAGGGGGTGAGAAATAGGTGGGTGGTCTGGGGGTTCTCCCCCAGAAAATTTTGAAAATGTAGATCGCAGGAGATGGTATTTGAGGCACTTTTGAGTACATGTACAGCCTTCATTCTGACTACGACAATTCTCGTTTAGTAGAACAATTCTTATTTTTTTTTTAATATTTTTACTTTTGGATCAACAGGGGGGGGCATGGTCCCCTTTGGGCCCCCTAACTATGCCACTGGTCACCATATCGCACGCGTGTGAACTACTGGAGCCAGCGCATGCAATGAAAAACAAACATGTAGCCCATGTCCTCGTCCATGAAAATGTAAAAACAAAACATTTTAAAAAACACATTAAACTTAATAAATAAATTTTAGCAAGTAACAAAATATTGTTTAATCTGTATTAATTAGTATTTGTCATGATTTTTAGCTAATTTATTTGTAATGTTATTCCCATAATTCTATAAGTAACACAAAAATTGTAGATTGGTAACGTTAAATAGTCAATTAAGTATTCTATATTCATCAGTGTCTAGGATGTACGAAGGGATTGGATAACAGGATTTTACTGGGCCCTTTGGTGTCAAATGAGGTAAGATTTAAAACGGGGAATTTAAGCACCGCACAGCCGTCCAAAAGCTTCAAAAGATCTGCGCACATATAGTTAGGCACGCGGACGTACATAAGTGTGGAGAGTCTATCTAATCATATACATGTAATTAATCTTGTGGTCCGAGTTTCGCTAGCGCTAGAGCTGGAATGCACTAGCTATAACTTAGAAGCACTCGAGTCATCAAACGGCGGCTCGAGTCCTGTTCTTTGACTCCATAACGGTTGAGTCAGAGTCAAGTAAAGTCATTTTCAGTGGTGACTCGAGTCAAGTCGAGTCATTTTGGGTTCCCGATTCGAGTCAAGTCAAGTCACCAGAAAATGCGACTCGAGTCGACTCGAGTCCGAGGCAGTGACTTGACTTGTTACAAGACTGCCTGGTAGTAACGCCAATGTTAAGGTCATAAAACAATAATCTGGCATATATACCCTATTACAGCAGTGTCGGGGAAATGGTTGGCTGAACTCATTGAAATTATTATGTATCTATAATAAATTGAAAAGTAAAAACATAGACAAATTACTATACTAGGTCTCATCTAATAGTGGACATATTATTCGTATTATTACTAATTACTCTAGTATAAAAATTACTATGAGTTTGTACTGTTATGGTATATAAAGTGATAAATAAAGCAGCCACATTTTTCAGTATCATGACAGTTGCCACATTTTAACCACATTTGAAGATTTCCACAGCTTGAACTAAAGTATTTCTTTCAGAAATACATTCAGAATATCAACAAACTTTAATAGCTATCAGATTTCTTTGAAAGTAAGGCTCTTCTCTCACTGGTTCATTTTTCTGTGATATATCTAAAAGTTATGTGCACATAGTCAACTGGAACTTGAACTACATGTTGGGGTACTTTAAATTATATTACGTTCCAATTGTAGTAATTATTGTAACTTCTGTAATATAGGTGATAAAGACAACTGGGTTCATGAAGGGTGTGTATGCTGAGGATGAAATGAATTCAGAAAATGTCAAGGATAAGGAAGCAAAGATGTCATTCCTACAGAAAGCCATCGATGTTGTTGGTGAGCAATTGTTTATTATTCAGTATAGCCGTACTGCCACATGCAACCGTTCATAACATTGCATTACATTACACTAGGAGTACCAGTAATTACATATGGGGTGATTACATGTAAGTTAAAATATAGCATGTAATTTACCAGAGAAATCCACAATTCGTCCGACCTATTGGACTGAAAACATTTTTTTGGCAGGCCGAAAGATTATATTTACGCGCTTGACCCATTATCCAACACTATTTTTCCTACAACTGAGTAGTTAACTTTCATTACCGACTGCTTCGACTTTATCTTTGTCCAGTTATTCCCAATTTTAGCATTTATCAAATTTAAAGTTGTTAAACATGTGATTTTGAACTGCATCATGCATATTACCAAACAGGAAATGTGTAAACGGGCAATTTTGTTTGACTCGGGGGGGGGGGGGCGTATAACCACATTTTTCGAAATACCTCAAAAAAGTTTTGACAGTGATACAGTTTGTATAACAAGTATGTAATTATTTAGCAAGAAAAACACGTTTACACACCATTTATTTAAGAAATAGGCATACAATAGGAAAAGACACACTGAAAAATTGAAGTAGTAAAATGTCAGTGGGTCCATCACAAACTTGTTAACTCGCTCTAATGAACCAGACTGGTTTCAAAATGGCCCCAGAAAAAGATTTTATTTCCGTTTTACAAATCAGTTCTAATACTAAATTATGTGTTTCTGATTTAATAATGGTTATAATTTCATTATTAATTAAAGTGAAATCTGATCTAATTAAAATAAAATCACTTCCTGATTGAATAATAATTATAATAATTTTAACAAATTTGCAAATGCTTAGAATAACACCCTAACGATTTATCTATTTGAGAAAACTTTATTGAAATTGAATTGAATTGCAGTGCTCGAAATAAGAAAAAAAATGTGGTTGTCCTGCGGACAACCCAGGCATCAAATCGGGTTGTCCGCAACAATTTCTGGTTGTCCCAAAAAAATATCCCCAAATCTCCTATTTTCAATCACATAATAATATGGTCAGAAAACACCCAAAAACAGTGGTGTAGCCAGGATTTTTTAACAAGGAGGGCCAAAAACACACCCTGCGGAAATGTGTCAGCGCTTACATATTACAATAATCCTAACCACTATCCTACCCTTCAATCATCCCACACCGACTACGCTTCCTGCCGCCCCCTCTCCACACCCTCCCGGCCTCCTTCCTAACATCCACCATTTTCTCTGCAATCTTTGAGTCTGTCTCGAGGAATCTACAAATTCGTTGAATAGGCGACCATTTTTGTGTCATTGTTCTCTGAGCTCCCAAGATATGAATTTGTCTCAGTGGCGTCTGGACCACTTCAAAACTGTTCATAAGGACGCACCGGCCGAACCCAAACAAGCGCGGGGCGGGTATGGGTCCACTCTAACCAGCAAGAGATTATATGAAATGTCAGAGTGTGCCGCAAGATGAAATCACGTATCTTGCACAACTATGTTATCGAGTACATGCTACAGCCTTCATTCAGACTACACAACTCTCTCTTCTAACTCTCGCAAATCAACTAATATACCCCCCGCATGTCTGCGACATGTTGCTTCTAGATTATCCACAGAGTTCAATATCTATCAAACGGAAATCAAAATAATAAGAATAAAAACACCTCAGCACAAATGTACGGGCGTGAACCTGCCGCTTTCAGTCTACCATATCTAAATCCGCGAAGCTTCACCCTCTCCCCATAACATGCAGTAAAAAACTCGACATCATACAACATTGGAAAATTAGCAACTGCCCAAGCGCTTACTCCAACCGCCTGGTAAGAACTCAGCTTTACGACACTCATAGAATAAATGGCGGCCGCCACCGGCTAAAGTCTCTTGAAAGAACGCACTGAGAAAAACATAAATACAGTACGTTTTTCGTCAACTTTTTTGTTCCACCGACAATGTCTTAGACTGTTATGTTTGTCCGCACAAATTCTGGTTGTCTCGGACACCGGACAACGCTATTTCGACACTGAATTGAATTGGGTAAACATTATTGATGTTTCAGCATTTACAACTGGAAAATCTCTGAGTGTAAAAACATCAAAGATTGTTGCTGGCCATGAACCGGAGAAGACAAATGAATTTCTACAGGCACTAGCAGAGGCTATTAATAGTGGGGTGAGTTGTTAAGATGCACCTAGCCCATTTACATCTTTTAGCAGATATGCCTTAACAGATTAAGATTACGATTCAAGGTATAAGTTGGAAGCGTGAATAAGTTTGCGCTGTTGACATAATGTTAGAGCTTTTAGCCATCATTTGTTATAGGCAAGTGTAAATATTCAACATATATAATGAATGAAGCAGCCTGAATAGGCATGTATATAATATCCACCCACCGCACGCACTTTCCTATTCTGCGTTGGTTTTACATGTAAATCATCTCTGAGTGTCTGCATGCCATAGCTTACGCCAGGCATGGGGGGTGGCAGCTGACCCTTCCATACCACAAAACAACCAGAACCCATGAAGAATAAAATCTAAGATTAGAACAAGTACTCGCATTTAACCGTTTTGGGAGTTTATTAGCAAGTAACCTACCTGAAATGGCTGAAGGCATTTCATAGCTTTCCTAGGTTCAAATTTCCGTTGGAGGCATGCCCCAAGACCCCCTACAATACAAGCAAGCGCCACCGGCACTCGTTCATCTTGCCCCCCCCCATACATTATTCCCTAGCTACGGCCCTGGTCTGTGCCTTGTATGCACCCAACTTATTTACAAAAAAAAACACGAATTATTCTTGAAAACTAACTACTAACTCACTCATTAACTGTCAGGTTTTTCATTTCTACTGATATCTTCACTGATCTCCCACGACAGTGTTGCATGAGCTCTAGGGATGCAAATGTGTAACTCCTCCAGTTGCATAATTTAGAATTTCTCACATACAACGTGGGGATCTAGAGTGATAGAAATGGGCTTATGAATGGTGAAGTCTTAACGAATGGTAGCTGTATGTATAATGTTGCGTGTGGTAAATCAATTATTGGATTAAGGTTACTTGCATGTGTGCTTAGGTAACAGTCTGCAATGGGGCCACGTGCCTCCGATCAATGTTTACCAAGGCACTATTAGCAGATTTTTTGCTTGCCGTCACTCGTAGGTAGGATCGATAGATGGGTCATAAAATCTTATTATGTATATTTGCATAAATATGTTTGACCTTACATCAGCTGCAAGTTCACAATGATTTTTATTATTTTATCAGGTTGATAGCACCAATGCAGTAGAGAAGGTTATTAATGGAGAAAAGCCATCTGGCACCACGAAGAATGAAGAGAAGAAGAAGAAAAAGGAGAAAGACAAGTTAAAAGATCCGAAAGATGTATGTGTTGTCTTACTCAGACTTAATGGAAGTCAATGGGAAAATGGCATTCACGTTACGGAATTTTGTCTTAGATACGTTCGTTGGGAACATGTCTTTTTCGTAAGCCAGGGGATGATTGTGGTATAATATTTTTCATGAACATAGTAAACCTGATTGGGAACACAAGTTGGTTTCAAAAGTAATCCAGATCATGTAATTTTAGAAGGTTGCATAAATTGAGGCAGACAAGGTATCTTTAAACATGCATGGCCGTAGTGCAGGATAGTGTACATGGAACTATGCAGTTATACCGAGACAGATATATTCTAGCAACTTGCATCTGTATTGATCATGATGTGTGTAGTAGAACAGAAATGCTTGTGTTGTGTTGGCACTACCATGTTAATAAATAATTAAAAGCTTGCGAACAACACTTGAATCATGATTATACCAACCTGTATCTTATAAATATTGTAAGGAATGTATATGGTGTATAGACGTTGCAATTCTCTAAACTGATCTTAATGAATCAGGTTTTTCATGATTCACTAAAATGCTGAATAATTGCACAACTTCTATTCAAATGTATGTTGTTGTATAATAATTGAAAATTAAGTTAGCAATGCATGTTTGTCATATTTAGCTCCTCGCTTCTTTCTTTCTCAGGATGAAAAGCCCAGAGAGAAAAGCAGAGACAAATTGAAAACTAAAGAGAGACATGGCAGCAAAGAGAGAGTAGATGAAAAAGAAAGGTAGACATGATTATGTAGTTTTGTATTTTATGTATTTTTGTGTAGCTTTAACACACAGTGCCAGATGATCTGGGGGCCGTTTCACGAAGCTATCGTAAAAATGCCATCTTAAGGATATCCTTAGAATTCTTGTACGAGAGCCTAACGCTGTCCTAAACGTCCCTCGTTAAAGTGTTTCACGAAACTTATGCCGGTGCGTTGTTAGACGGTCTTTAAAATTCAGCTGTAACGATGTTGCTGGCGGCATAGACTGGTACCCGATCTCTACACCTTGCTACTAGATAGTCTATATATAGAAACATGTTACAAGTCTAATGGCGACCCAGCTCACTGTGAGTTGCTACGCTAATCTCTCGCGTCATTTGTAGGTACAACAGCGTGCAAACAAAAAATAATAGGTTAAAAGTATTTTTAAATGCCAAGTACCTGAGAAATAATTAAACTAAAGCAAGGTTGTCATATTTCCTGCAACTAGAACTACCACAAATGACGTATTGACTGAACAAAAATGTAACATAAATTCTGAAGGTTTAGATTCACGTTTACTTTGATACAGTATTGGCGCCATAGGATACAGTGCATATATACCTATAGCACATACCGCCATAGCATACATACACGAACAGCCGAAGCACGCCACATGTAAAGTGCAAGGAAGCATTTCATCTCTTCAAAATCTGCTACTACAATAAGAAGCTTCTTAGCAACACTTAACCCCTGCGTGTCATGCCTTCACAGGCCTTGCACAGTATTCTCGTAGACACAGAAGTTACCTTCTCGGTGGGATTTCGCTCTACACTACAGCTTGCCAAAACAATAAAAACACGCGGGAAATTGCGCGTTGCTTGATGTACGATAGCCTAAGTACTGCCCCTGACCTGTTCTTAATATTCCTCCTTAATAGCAACGTCGTTGAGTTAGCGAGACGTTTGTGAAACGTGGAAACTTAGAGAGGCTTTCGTGAAACACTCTATATATAAGGATATCCTAAAACCCCTCACTAACTTAACGAGCGCTTCGTGAAACGCTCCCCTGGTTACAAAACGTTGGTTGCAATACCACATAAATTAAGGTGTAGGTCACACCCAAAAACTTGACACCCAAAAATCATTTCTGTTATGTACAAATGAAAAATACATCGATTATATATTGTAAAAACTAAATTTGTTTCACACAAAAATGTTTCACTAGTTATAACTTCATTTTAAAGAACTTTAAGGAACAGAGCAATATTACAGATCTCGATTGTACATCTGTAGATCTAAAGACCGACATAAAGACAAGGAACGATCAAAACACAAAGACAAAGAGAAGGACAGAGAGAAAAAGAAGCATAGGGAAGCAGGAAGCAAAGAACATGTGAAAGAATCTAACAGTGAGGTGAAGGTCAATGGAACCAAAGAGAAAGTCAAGAAGGAAGTAAAGGCTGATGGCAGCGAAGAAAAAATCAAAGAGAAGAAACGTAGGCCCAGAGAGAAGGATCGTGACCGGGACAAAGAGAAAAAAACGCATGTAAGTTTCTTCAGTGTTCCACGTACTTAATAGTTATGTATCATTAGATAAGCAGAGCTTTGAATGCAAAGTTATAGTGCTAGGTGCCAGATTATAGTATATGAGATTTTTTCTCTCCCACAGAAAAGGGAGAAGGAAGAGAAGACAAGAGTCGGTGAAAATGTGCCTCAGACACCTGCTTTGCCTGTCGAGGAAAGACCGCCTGTAAATGGAGAAGTTGGTTTTGAAAATGAGGTAATGTGCTCATTCTAGCAGGTCAGACATGCATTAATTCTTTACCTGTATGTATATTTCTTTGGACAATTTCCCCAGATTCATATGAATGTCACAACTCGGTGGAATCGTTTTTTATCCATATGGTTCATGTGTGAACGAGTGTGTAGGATAATACTCTATTATCCACAACCAGCTACAAATGTTCTGGAGTGTGCCTTAAAAGCTGCCCACTGTTTTTGTTACTTGTGCTCTATTTATACGGTCCATAAATGCTCAACAAAATCTAATTTTGTGTCACTTGATCTGTGTGTGATTGATTATATTTCGGTGCAAGCTTTTTGTAAATTAGGTCGGTTACATTTTCCGGTACAGGCTCCAAGACCTGGAACAGCTAAAGGTGGGCGAAAGAAAAGAACCACTGAAGGAGGTTAGTAGTTTATTTTGTGGGAAAATCTAAATCCAATTTTGCGGTAGTACACATGATACTAACACTGCATTCATAGCAGCGTTTTACTAATACTAACAGCTATATTATCTTGCTAATGATTGGTTTAGGTTTTATGTTAATTAATAGGTCAATAAAAAGTTGTAATTGATAATATAGATGCCACCACCCTCTACCAATTCTACGTTTTTGAGAGCTTTTTCTGTGGGTGGGTAGTGTATGTGCACCTGTTTATATACACAATGTAACATTGCTATTTACCTCCTCTATAACTGCTGTAAGTCTGTATTATGCTAATCTCTATTATCTACTCATATTATCCTCTATACTATTCACCTGTGTCACATTGACGACATTTAACTGGGTCACTTAGGGCACTCAGATGTGGATGTGGATGTGGATGTGGAGGTAGATGTGGAGGATAATGTTGAAAGTGGGTTAGAACATGTGGAAGGTATGAAATCTGGTTTTTGCATCTTAAAAGTCTCTGTGTTTCTTTTATAACAGAATGATGTGGGCATGTTTAGGCAGCTATCAAGCAACTGACCTTTATGTAATTTCATGTTTACTGATCTTTTAAATTGCAAATACATTAAAACGGCCAAAGAAATTGTTTGTACCAGCCAATTAATCTCTATAACTATAGTATATGTGCAGCAAATGCTACTGCTAGCTACAGATATTGCTAGTGATTCACTAGCTATGAAGGTAGCACATAAATTTTGGTTGTTTCCGACAAGCAGTGTGAAATCACATGAACGTTTCAGGAAGCTGATATGCTGCTAGATGAACTTGTTCACATAATTTCTGTTTATTTTTTAATCAAAACCTCACTGTCGTAAACCTTTTCTTCACCTAGTGCTATTACTGCTGTTCACCTATTCTGCTGAGTCTATTTTAAGTAAAATTGGATAACTTATATAACAGCAAAATACTCAGTGAATTGATGTCAAAAGTGCTTTCCTTCCGAACTTCTCCATCTGAAAAATGCATATATAGTGACGTTCAGCTTTCCACCAGCAGATTTGCTTATCCCTGATTTTGACGTCTCTATGTATGTATATATTATATTTATATACATATATATATACATATTTATATGTATATATATATATATATATTTAATATGTTGTTATTCTCATAGTCTCAGTCACACCACTCGATAGGCTCTTGCAATAAATATAGTGGTGCATTAATGCAGTGATTGATTTACTTGGCAGTGTGTACTTTATTTGTGAGGTAGCATGGTTGTTGTTAGTATTGTTGTCATTGCTGTTATTACTATTATTATCATTATCAGTGTTCTTTGAACTATACTCGATTGAATTTTATAATTTTATATATATATATATATATATATTACTTTTACAGGAAGTTAGTAGAGTGACCTTATGCATATTGAATATTTTTATATATTTAATATGCATAGCTTGGCACTATAAAATTGTAAGCTACAAATTGGAGTTATATGTAATATAATTCAAATTGTGGTATATGTTACAGTTATAGCAGTAATAATTTAGTATGTGCCAGTAATCAAATTCTATTCCCATTGACGGTTTCCTATGTTGTCTGATAGTTGAATTATACTTATTTAAAATATTAAAAACGAACTACATTGGGAACTTTTCCCGTTTAAAATATAAACATGAATTGTGTATTAAAAATTTCATCACTAGCTTAGTGTAATTCACAGTTAGTTAACATTCGGCTAGTGGTGAACGTTACACAAAAATGTATTGCTCCATGCTCAAGTTTATATCTTCATCATTTTATAACAGTCACAGATAGGCCGGAACATGTATACCCAATCCTATTTACTCTAGCAAGATCTAAAACTGGTTTATTCATTTATCAGCTATAGTAGAAGAGCAGCCGGTAGGGCCTTCTAGGCAACGGTCTGCAATGAAGGCCACCAGAGAGTCCAGTGCCGTCCCTCAAAATGACGAAGAAGATATTGTCCCTCAACAAGTTCTCTCTAGGTATGTACACTGTTATAACTGCTACTACAGGCAACATACTGACATAAATTATGCTAACTGTACTCAGTAGTGATGTCATGATCATCGATTATACTCGATCATCGGTTGAACAGTGGCTCGAACCAAGCGCTTGGTTATCAAAATCCATAATCAATTTCATCGAAAAAAACAACAACTAGAAAACTTGGAAAAGTGATGAGAATCAGAGATATCATCGCTACTATACAAGTTATCCTTTATTAACATACATGTATTATACACACAGTAGTAAACAGTGTAAAGCAAACAGTAAACAGGGCTAAACAAGCACATACATGCACACACGTACATGCACACGACGTTACGCACACGCAGGCATTCAACACCCCGAGTAACCGATTGTAACCGATCATCGGTTACTTGGGTCCAACCGATGATCGATTACGAAATTACAACCGATTGACAACACTAATACATGCACGCGCGCACACGCACATAGTGTGCACATAGTGGTATATTCTATAAATATGTACGAAATAATTCCGGGAATGCTGCAAAAAAAGTAGTAGAAGTAATAAGGAGATTGTCGCCTGTGATGATTGACCTATCTGTTATAGTGAGATAACCACGCACCAGAAATCTGGTCTATGCATCATGTTAGACTAATGTGTTCGTGTTTACTAGTTATGCACGCCAAATCCTCGACTCTGTGGCACTTCATCGCCAAGCGTTGCTTTTTCAAACGTTCTATCTCAACAGTAGTTATCTAGAGCCGCTTGTCATTTGAGCTGCGACACTTGTTCGATTGCGACGAGTGCAAACTCGTTGAGCGTACATGTGCGCCACGTTGTATGCAGTGTTGCGTTATGTGCGCAGGAGGCCAGCGCGGCCCAGCAGTGCGAGACCGCCACCTCCTCGCATCGCGAGAGCAGATGAACCCGAGGAGGTCACCGCAGCGTAAGTCGTCTGCAGTACTACTGCTACCACCACTACTTGCACTATGGCTACTTCTGCTAACACTACCGCCACTACTGCTACAACTAGCTGTATAACCACAAAAACTAACACTACCTGTACTACCACCACTACTGCTACAACTAGTTGTACTATGGCTACTTCTACTAACACTATTGTACTACCACCACTACTGCTAAACACCACTAGTGTACTATGGCTACTTCTACTAACACTACCTGTACTTCACCACTACTGCTAAACACTGTTGTCTAGGCTTACTTGCTGACTAACACTATCTGTACTACCACCACTACTGCTACAACTAGTTGTACTATGGCTACTTCTACTAACACTACCTGTACTCCCACCACTACTGCTAACACCACTAGTTGTACTATGGCTACTTCTACTAACACTATCTGTACTACCACCACTACTGCTACAACTAGTTGTACTATGGCTACTCTACTAACACGTGATCTGTACTACGACACTACTCTCAGCCACTAGTTGTACCGTAGGGCTACTTTATAACACTACCTGTACTACCACCACTGTATGCTAAACCCTAGGTGTACTATGGCTACTGCACTATAACATATCTGTATACCCCATACTACTCCCACTAGTGTGTTATGGCTACTTTCACTAACTACTGTACTTCACACTACTGCTAACACCACTAGTTGTTACTATGGTACTGGCTACTAAACACTGTACCTGTATACACCATCGTGCTACGACCACTAGTTGATAGGGGCTACTGTACTAAGACATACCTGTACTGACCACCACTGACTGCTACACCTCACTAGT